ACTGGGTTTCCTATGCAATTGCTTAATAACGACACATAAAAACGTGCATGTACATTTGCACACTTATGACCCAGCTCTGACCACACAGAGCTCTCACTGTGTTGTCGAAGGCTTTCATAGCCAGAATCACTGGGCTGCTGTGAGTTTTCCGGGCTGTGTGGCTATGTTCCAGAAGCATTCTCTCCTGATGTCTCACCCACATCTATGGCAGGCATCCTTAGAGGTTCTGAGATTTGTTGGAAAGTAGTCAAGTGGGGTTTATATATCTGTGGAATGTCAAGGATGGGAGAAAGAATTTCCCAGAGTAAGGAAATACCCTCAGCAATATGTCCCTAAATGCACTTTATCACTGATTTAGGATTGTCTGCGCGCCCCATCTCTACCTGAAAAATCTATCCCAGTAATATCCTACCTTGTCCATACCCAGCATTATTTTTTAAATTTTAAATTATTACATTTGGCCCAGCCATAGATTTTAAATGCTTGTTGTTATTGTTACTGTTTATTGTTTACTTTTGTTTAAGAGATTTACTTTAACTGTTGTATTGATTGTTTTCCTATTGCTTTTACTGGTGATGTACTTTGGGCTCGGCCTCATGTAAGCCGCACCAAGTCCCTTGGGGAGATGGTAGCGGGGTATAAATAAAGTTTTATTATTATTACTAGCCGTCCCCTGCCACGTGTTGCTGTGGCACCCTCTGGTAGTCACGGGGGTTCTGTGTGGGAGGTTTGGCCCAATTGTATCGTTGGTAGGGTTCAGAATGTTCTGTGATTGTAGGTGAACTATAAATCCCAGCAACTACAACTCCCAAATATCAAGATTCTATTTTCCCCAAACTCCACCAGTGTTCACATTTGGGCATATTGAGCATTCGTGTAGAGTTTGGTCCAGATCCGTCATTGTTTGAGTCCACAGTGCTCTCTGGATGTAGGTGAACTATGACTCCAAAACCAAAGGACACTGCCCACCAAACCCCTCCAGTATTTTGTTGGTCATGGGAGAACTGTGTGCCAAGTTTGGTTCAATTCCATCGTTGGTGGGGTTCAGAATGCTCTTTGATTGTTGGTGAACTATAAATCCCAGCAACCAGAGGTGGCCCTAGGTAATTTTCAACGGTAAGCAAACATTCCCCCCACCCCCCAAACCAATCACTAATATATATTTTCTGTTCGTCATGGGAGTTCTATGTGCCAAATTTGGTTCAATTCCATCATTGGTGGAGTTAAGAATGCTCTTTGATTGGTGAACTATACATCCCAGTAACTACAACTCGCATATGTCAAGGTCTATTTTACCCCAAGAGCACCTCAAGAGCGCCCCTGGGCAAAATCAACTATACTGCAAATGCTTACTTTGCATAATGGGTGAGCCGCCCCTGCCAGCAACTACAACTCCCAAATGACAAAATCAATTTTTTTTTAAGTGAAGGACATACATTGGGTTGTTAAGTGTCTTGTTTCCAAATTTGGTGCCAATTGCCCCAGTGGTTTTTGAGTTCTMTGAATACCACKAACGAACATTACATTTTTATTTATATAGATTATTATTTGAGGCAAGTGTGAACATGGCAATTGATCATCTTGATTAGCATTGAATAGCCTTGCAGCTTCAAAGCTTGGCTGTTTCCTGCCTGGGGGAATCCTTTGTCAGGAGGCGATTAGCTAGCCCTGACTGAAACAGACAAGAGTTTTTTCTCCCACCCTGGACATTCCAGATATATAAACCACACTTGATTAGTTTCCAAGCCTCACAACTTCTGAAGAGGTCTGCCATAGATGTGGGTGAAGTGTCAGGAGAGAATGCTTCTGGAACATAACTACACAGCCTGGAAAACTCACAGCAACCCAGAGCTCACACTTCTCTCCTCTTTCTGCAAACTCATCAGGATGACTTTACATCTCCGATATTCCTGTGATCCTCCTCTTAAGCACAGCAATGCAGGAGGCCCTGCTGGGGAAGTCCTCCTGCCTTGCTTTTTGTCTGTACAGAAGATGAAGGGAAGATGGTGGCGAGAAAGGCCTTGAGGCTCCATGCGGGTCTGTGGGAAACCTTCTCCAACACTCTTAGCCCCTAGCAGCATCTTCTCCTCCAAAGAGAACGATCCAATGGAGGGTGGCGGTGGAGCTAAAAGCGCTGTGACAAATCTGGCAGGCAAATGTTCTCTCGCACACACGCTCGCTCTCTTTCTTTCTCATGCACACACATGCTCTCTCCTCCGCAGGCACGCACAGACTGTGAATAGGCACATGTCCTGGCTCTGGATTTTATGAAGCTTTCTCAAAGTGAAAGGAATTCCAGAATTGTATCACTTGTTGGATGCAAGGGAGGCACATCCTCCAAGTGTCCTTGGCAGAGATTCTTGGGAGGACCTTCCCTTTGCAAAGAGAGAGGAATAAACAACCAGTATCTATGTGGAGTTTTGTTGCACCAAGGTACCACATTATTTAAAAATAGAGAGATAAATGAATGATATTATGTAACTTGGATTTTTCTTCCTGGGTTACAAATACCATTTCCTTTCTATCATAAAAAGATGGGGGGGAAAGTTTTTGCAGGATGTCCTGCAGCACATTTTGCTCTAGTTTTTCAATAAGTATCTCCTAGAATCTCAACGAATTCAACATAGTTTGCGGCAGCCACACAAAAAAAACAAAGTTTCCGGAGTATAATAACTACATTTATAGTAAGTTTTGCACAATTAAACAGGATGTAACACTTTCCAACCAGGAACAGATTTTTTTTTTTCAAATTTGTTACATAGGCAAGCAGCACATTGTTGGCTGGGAATACAATAATACAGTACAGAGCAAAAACAAAAATCCCTTCACTTTAGTACAGGGTTTGGGAAATTGCATTTCAGGCCCCTTCCACACAACTGAATAAAATCCCACATTATCTGCTTTGAACTGGAATGTATAACAGTGTGGACTCAGATAACCCAGGGCCCTTCCACACAGCCCTATATCCCAGAATATCAAGGCAGAAAATCCCACAATATTTGCTTTGAACTGGAATATATGGCAGTGTGGACTCAGATAACCCAGGACCCTTCCACACAACCCTATATCCCAGAATATCCAGGCAGAAAATCCCACAATATTTGCTTTGAACATGAGTATATGGCAGTGTGGACTCAGATAACTCAGGACTGTTCCACACAGCCCTATATCCCAGAATATCCAAGCAGAAAATCCCCCAAAATTTGGTTTGAACTGGAATATATGGCAATGCGGACTCAGATAACCTAGGACCCTTCCACACAAACCTATATCCCAGAATATCAAGTCAGAAAATCCCACAATATTTGCTTTGAACTGGAGCATATGGCAGTGTGGAGTCAACATAACCCAGTTCAAAGCATATAGTGTGGGTTATTCTGCCTTGATATTTGGTGTGGAAGAGTCCTTGGAGCAAAAAGATGCATCTCCTCCATGGTTGATGCTGGATTCCTGTAGAATGTGCTCAGATGGATTCAGTACCTTTTTGGGCCCCTTCTACACTGCCATATAATCCAGATTATCAGAGCAAATAAAACTATCTGTTTTGGACTGGATTATATGAGTCTATACTGCCATATAATCCAGTGCAAAGAAGATCACCAGGATTTTAAAAGCAGATAAGCCATGTGATCTGTTTTGAACTGGATTATATGAGTCTACACTGCCCTATAATCCAGTCCAAAGCAGATCGTCAGGATTTTAAAAGCAGTTAAATCACATGATCTGTTTTGAACTAGATTATATGAGTCTACACAGCCATATAGTCCAGTCCAAAGGTGATCATCAGTGATCTGTTTCAAACTGGATTATATGAGTCTACACTGCCATATAATCCAGTCCAAAGCAGACCATCAGGATTTTAAAAGCAGATAAGCCATGTGATCTGTTTCGAACTGGATTATATGAGTCTACACTGCCATATAATCTAGTCCAAAGCAGACCATCAGGATTTTAAAAACTGATAAAACACATGATCTGTTTCGAACTGGATTATATGAGTCTATACTGCCATATAATCCAGTCCAAAGCAGACCATCAGGATTTTAAAATCAGATAAGCCTTGTGATCTGTTTCGAACTGGATGATATGAGTCTACACTGCCAGTGTAGGATGATATGAGTCTACACTGGATGATATGAGTCTACACTGCCAGTGTAGACTCATATAATCCAGTCCAAAGCAGATCATCAGGATTTTAAAAGCAGATAAGACACGTGATCTGTTTTGAACTGGATGATATGAGTCTACACTGCCATATAGTCCAGTCCAAAGGTGATTATCAGTGATCTGTTTTGAACTGGATTATATGAGTCTACACTGCCATATAATCCATTCCAAAGCAGACCATCAGGATTTTAAAAGCAGATAAACCACGTGATCGGTTTCAAACTGGATTATATGAGTTTACACTGCAATTAATCCAGTCCAAAGGTGATCATCATCAGTGATCTGTTTTGAACTAGATTATATGAGTCTACATTGCCTTATAATCCATTCCAAGCAGACCATCCGGATTTTAAAAGCAGATAAGCCACGTGATTTGTTTTGAACTGGATTATATGAGTCTACACTGCCATATAATCCAGTCAAAAGCAGATCATCAGGATATTTGGCAGTGTAGAAGGGGCATTGGAAACAAGCTCCACACACACACACACATATCTCCACATATTACGTATTATCCACATCTATATCTCTATATAGGAATGACACAGTTGCAAGGCTCCTAATCAGGCTCCTAATGCCTGAGCTCCAAGGTGAACCAGCTTCTCCTAGATCTCCCTCCGCCTCCATCTTTTGAGCCTTCTCTGGCACACGTCTGCAAGGGCCCCACGTGCTTCCTGCCCCCATTACACCCCCAAAGAAAGCCACCCCATTCAAACATTGGTTTGGGAAACTATCCATCAGAGCCCCCACCTCCACGCCCGCCACTCCCAAGGCAAATCCCTCCTTGGTCCTGGTTCTTATTCCAGGCTCCTGAATGATGGAGCAGCCCTTACCGCTTTGCCCTCCATGAGGCTTGGCTCCGGGAATCCTCCTCTTCCTCTTCTGCAGCGTCCTCGCTTTGCTTCTCGGGGCGACTTTTAGGGCGAGTGCCTGGATGCAGCCGGGCAGGTCTCTTTATGAGTTCTGATGGCGATGGGAGGCGGGGCCAAGGAGGGAGGGGCCAAATCTCCGACGAAATCACAAAAAAATCCACCGGCAGCATCAGATGGTCGTGACTTGAGTGCTTGTCATCGGTCCCAGTTCCTATTTCTGCGAGCCGCTCGCGCGCTCTCCAAACACGGCTGCCTTGTTTTTGATGTTTCACGGAGGCGCAAGGCACAGAATTCTGAGTCGGGCGGGCCATTTCCCTCAATCTTGCTGTTTGGGCCTTTTCGAAGCCAAGGAAACGGATTGTCTCGCCTCCAAATCAATCCCTCCTTATATCGGAATGCTGGTGCAAATCAAAATTCCGGAGGTCAATGAAATATATAAGAAAACTGACACCAGCTATCATCTCACGTAAGACATCAGCCCACCTTTAGGAGAACCAGGCTGGATCTACACTGCTCTATAATCCAGGGCCCTTCCAGACAGGCCCTATGGCCTGGGATGAGATTATGGTATATGAGGCCTGTCTGGGCCCCCTTCTACACAGCCATATGACTAGTGTGAGAATATCAAGGTTTATAATCCACTATATCTGCTTTGAACTGGGTTATCTGAGCCCACACTGTCATATATACCAGTTCAAAGCAAATGTGGAATTTTATTCAACTGGATTATATGGCAGTGTGGACTTAGAAAACCCAGTTCAAAGCAGATATTGTGAGTTATTGTGCCTTGATATTCTGGTGCCCCTTCCACACCGTTGAATAAAATCCCACATTATCAGCATTGAACTGGGTTATATGGCAGTGTGGACTCAGATAACCCAGTTCAAGGCAGATATTGTGGGATTTTCTGTCTTTATATCTTCTATATATATATATATATAAATGCTCTGTGCATAATGAGTACCTTAAAAACAAAAGAACCAATGAATGAAATCACACCAAATTTGGCAACAAAATGTCTCACAACACAAGGAGTGACCATCACTCAAAAAATTATGATTTTGTCATTTGGGAGTTGTAGTTGTTGGGATTTATAGTTCACCTATAATCAAAGGGCATTCTGAACTCCACCAACGATGGAATTGAACCAAACTTGGCACACAGGACTCCTCTGACCAACAGGAAACACTAGAAGGGTTTGGTGGGCATTGACCTTGTGTTTGGGAGTTGTAGTTCACCTTTATCTAGAGAGCACTGTGGACTCAAACAATGATGGATCCGGACCAAACTTGGCATGAATGCTCAATATGCCCAAATGTAAACACTGGTGGAGTTTGGGAAAAATAGACCTTGACATTTGTGAGTTGTAGTTACTGGGATTTATAGTTCACCTACAATCAGAGCATTCTGAACCCCACCAATGACGGAATTGGGGCAAACTTCCCACACAGAACTCCCATGACCATTAGAAAATACTTAAGGCCATCCAGTCCAGCTCCCTTCACCAGGGAAAAAAACGTAATCAAAGCCCTCCTGACAAAGAGCCATCTAGCCATAGATATAGATAGATAGATAGATAGATAGATAGATAGATAGATAGATATGATTCACACTCACACAGATATAGTGTCATAGATTTGAAAGGGACCCTTAAAGAAGGACAATGATATCTTGCATGTTCCAGGGTGGGCAAACCAGACACTGTCCACATCAACACTGACAAAGAAAAAACAAGAAATACTGTTTACCCACAAGCATAAAGACATTACATATATTAGAACAACACTTTCTCATTACTTTATTTTCCAGATCACCAGACTGGGCCACAACAACGTGTGGCAGGGGACAGCTAGTTCTATGTTATATGGCTGTTCTGAAGAGCCTTATATCACAGGATCTGATCCCAGCTTTTCTGCTTTAAACAGGATTATATGAGTCCACACTGCCAGATAATCTGAGATAAACAGAAAACCTGGGATCTGATGTGAGATATAGGGCCTGTATGAAAGGGCCCCCAGATAAACAAAGCAGATAATCCAGATTATCTGCTTTGAGTAGGATTATATGAGTCTACACTGTCATATAATCCAGTTCAGTGCAGTTATTCTGGATTTGATATGCCAGTGTAGAAGCAGCCTTAGAGATTATAGGGGTTTCATGCAGTGGCAGAACGGAGCCCCATCTACACTGCCATATAATGCAGTTTCTGTATTGAACTGGGTTATGTGACAGTGTGGATTCAGGCCCCTTCCTGATTGGAAGCTTTGCAACCCTGTCATTCATATCTATCATATCTATTCATATCCATTATATGAATATTATTCCTATTCATATCTATATGGATATTTGTGTGTGTGGCTTGTTTCCCAGGCCCATTCTATACTGCTATATAAAATCCGGATTATCTGCTTTGAAATTGATTATATGGGGGATTATATAATCCAACTCAAAACAGATAACATGGATTATCTGATTTGATAATCTGGATTATATAGCAATGTAGCAGGGCTGTCATATAATCCAGTTCAATGAGATCAAACTGCATTATATAACAGTATTAAAGGTTGTCCCCTGACATTAAGTCCAGTCATGTCTGACTCTGGGGTGTGGTAATAATCTCCATTTCTAATCCGAAGAGTCGGCGTTGTCCATAGACACCTCCAAGGTCATGTGGCCGGCATGACTACATGGAGCGCCGTTACCTTCCCACTGGACCTATTGATCTACTCACATTTGCATGTTTTCGGATTGCTAGCTTGGCAGAAGCTAGGGCTGACAGCGGAAGCTCACACCGCTCCCCGATTCGAACCTTTCACGGTCAACAAGCTCAGCAGCTCAGTGCTTTAACCCACTGTGCCACCGGCGGCTCCTATATAACGGTATAGATAGCCCAAATCTAAAATTGTTGGTTGCCAAGAGATAAAGGGAGACAGCCTGCAACTATAAGTCTATCATTTATTTACACCATGGCCTCTTCTACACTGTCATATAATCCAGTTCAAAGCGGATAATTTGGATTTTATATGGCAGTGTATAAGGGGCCTGTGTAGCTCAGAAAGTGGTTTATTGTTGTATTTGCTGCTTGCATCAGTTCTCTCCAAAAGTCTGATTAGTACACTGGCATAGAAACCTGTGTTTCTAAGAATGCAGAAATTTATGTTCCTGATACCATATTACCTTGGAAATAATCCAGAAATGAGGGCTCTTTGGCTGTCACACAAATGAATACTGGCACAGCAACACTGGTTGACTTTAATTCAAAACCTTTCAGAGTGAAGAATACTAGTCTGGCCTTAGAAGAAACCATGCATTTAAAAAGTTATAAAATATCCATTTCAGATATCTATTTTATTATTTATTTATTTTGGACATTTGTATCCCATCCTGTCTTGATCTCCGCAGAGGGACTCAAGGTGGCCATATCTAGAAAGGTTTTGTATAAAAATTATTCTCTTCCTGTAACCTGCTTTTAATTTTTTTTTTAATTTTCCAAATCACCCTAGTTTCGCTTATGCAACGGGAACATTTGAAACAGGACTATTGCTTCAGGACTATTTTAAATAATCTAAATAGACTAAATAACCTTGGTCTTGCATGCAAATCTTTGCATAGCAGTGGTAACTATTTCAGGCAGAAATTTAGATAGTAATGACTTGCCAGGAAGGGTTAACTAAAGACACCCCAGTGATGCAAAAGAGAGGTTTTGTTTGATAAGGAGGTCAAAACTCCTTATCAAACACTTTATGCATGTATTCCCAATACTGATTGGTTGGGAAACAATATTTTGTTCTTGTGTCTGTCTTGGGGGCTTCCCCTAGACCAGCATATCCCAACCTTTGGTCGTCCAGGTGTTTGGGATGTCAACAAAGCCATCTTGACCAAGTGTCCGTAATTCTGGAGCAAAGGTCCAAAACACATGGAGAATCAGCCACTGCAGGAAGAAGAGTAAAGCCATTATCTGCTTTGAACTGGATCCAGTTGAATATGGCAGTGTAGAAAGGGCCTAAATAAACGGATGGCCTTGTTGGAAATAGCAACCTTCTTCAAGCCTCCTATACTAGTTATTTATTAGGTATATAATTCAGATTGCTTACTGTATTCTGTATGCATGAAGTTTGTAAGTAAACCTATGTAATTTTAACGGATACTATTTTATTTTTGGTTTCGAGTGCATGATTTAAACCAAGATGTTAAAATCCTGGCTTTGGAATCAGGCATTTGCAGATTGATGGATGATCCAGTATAGACTAAGAGTTATTTGACCACAACGTTTTGGACTGAGTTGGATGTTGTTTTAATGTGATGAATTGTCTTTTATATGTTTTTTGGAACCTATTTATTGTGTATGTTATTTTATGATGCTACTAGCTGTACCCACCACGCGTTGCTGTGACCAACCTTCCCTCTTTCTCTCCTTCCCCTCCTTCCTTCATTCCCTTTTTCCTTCCTTCCCTTCTTTCCTTCTCTTCTTCCTTCCTTCTCTATCTCTTTCCTTCCTTTCCCCTTTTTCTTTCTCTTCTGCTGTTTCTCTTTTCTTCCTTCTCTCTTTCCTTCTTTCCTTCCCTCCCTCTTTCTCTACATCTTCCCCCTTCCTTCGTTCTCTTTCCTTCCTTCTTTCCCTTTTCTTTCCTTCTCTCCTTCTTTCTTTTTCTTTCCTTCCTCCCTTTTCTTTCCCTCCTTCTTCCTCTTCTCCTTTCTTCTCCTTTCCTTCCTTCCTTTTTCCATTCTTCCTTCCTCTTCCTTCTTCTTCTTTCTTTCTTTCTTTCTTTCCTTCTTTCTTTTTCTCTCCTTCCTCCCTCTTTATTCCCTTTTTTCTGTATTGTCATTTAGCTTTTCGTCATTTAGCTTTTTGGGGGCTTTTAAGTCCCTTCTGCTGTGTTTTTCGGTATTTTTATGAATGAAGGACACACATTGGGTTGTTAGGTGTATGCCGTCCAAATTTGGTGTCAATTGATTTTTGAGTTCTGTTAATCCCACAAACAAACATTATAATTTTATTTATATAGATTTATTGTATAGTATTGAATTTTGCAGTTCGCTGTTCTGAGTCCTTCCACGGAGGTAGATAAGAATGGGATATAATAGGCCCGTAGCCAGGATTTTGTTTCGGGGGGGGGGCTGAATTTTTTCAGGGGGGGGTTTCGGGGGGCTGAGTTTCGGGGGGTGAGTCTGAGTGAAAGAGGGTCTACCCTAGCAAACCTTTTGTATCATTA